CTGTGTGACATCTTCCTTGTCCTGCGCGTCAGGCTTGTTTTGGCATCCTAAACCGTTCAGACAAAGGTCAGATAGCTGAGATTTGGTTAGCAGTATCAAAGACCATGACAAAAATATTGGATTTCGGTAACAAAAAACGTCCTACTTCAGTACCAACAGCAGCTGTGTGAACATAGTGTCCTGATGCCCAGCATCCACTCTCCTGCTTCCTCACACCTGATTTAAATAAATGAGTGATCAAAATGATCAACATGCTTCTGCACCACTTGGTAATGCAATTGAGTGGGACGTGCTGGAGTGGTGGCACATGCAGAAATGAACGACTGCAGGTACTTAGGACTAGAGAATAAAAACAACAAAGGTTAAACATCTCTAAGGTTATAATATTTAGCATGCACTCTAGAGTTTTGTGAACTGGTGAAAGCTTATAATTAAATTTAGCCTTTGATGATTTAGAGCAGGGGTCTTCAACGTTTTCCAGGCCAAGGATCCCCAAACTGATGGCAAGATGGAGTGGGGAACTCTAATTATATATATTGTATGAAATTGTGTTATATCAAATTGGTCCTATAGTCACTCTATTACAGATGGAGTCATGTAATGAATGTTACTGCCACTGATAAGGGCTTTTCATACTTGTTATCCACGTGTTCAACTCTGAGTGGACCTACTTGATTGAACTAACTCATAGCAACTGTTGTGAAACCAAAAACTCAAAGTTCATGACCTAGATCAGTTTAGAGTTGGGGATTTGAATCTGAGTTTGTTAAACCTGTTTTTTGGAAACTGATCTCTTAGCCCAACTTTGTCTGACTGTTTTTAGTAATTTTGGCCACTGACCTGATTGAGAATAAACTAAAAAGCCTCCTTGATTTCTGTTTTTTTTGTTTTTTGTTTCCTGTCTTTGAGATACTTATCAAGACTTGGACAACTTCAGAATACATCAAATTGTAGCTACTACTTCCTATATAGCTCCTACCCTTCCACCTTTTACACAGTCAACAGAAAGAACAATATGTTAAGTAGGAAAGGAACTCCAGTCCGCTGGGCTTAATCAGGACAGTCTTCAGTCTTACGGTTGTTATTAAGTGATGTACTTAATAACAACACATGGATAATGTTTTTTTTCAAATTAGGACTAAAGTATCCCAGAAATGAACTATCAAAAGCATGACATAAATGTAGCAAATGGATGAAGCTCTATTATAAAACCCAGAACATATGAAGATGCATACATTTGCATGTGTCACCTGGTACTAGTGAAGAAATAATGTATTTCCTGCTTCCACCTCCCTCCTTACTGCCAGCACTATTATGTTAGCACTTACAGTATCAGTATAAGAACTTAACGCTTACTGTAGGCTTAAGTTTATTTACCAACTTAGCATTTTCAGAAGGAACCTAGCTCTCCATAAATTATTTCATTTCGGTAAACTTGTTCATAGGCTTAACCACAACATCCTTTTTCCCTACTTTTTCTTCTCCTTCTCAGAGGAGATGGAAATTACAGAATCTTGGGCTAATTACGTTATTTTTCTTAAACTCTAATTATGACAATCCCAGTTCCAACTGCCAGCCTCCCTTGTAGAAAACTGCTGTAGAACTGATTCCTAAAACATTTGCTTTTTCACCTTTTTCACTTCCAGTTAATGTGATCAACTTTTTGCTGTTGGGCATAGTTTCAGTCCAAGCACAGTTCTAGAAAATTCCACAGCAAATTTATGCTGCCCTCTACATAAGTATAATAGATTTTAACCCAGTTATAGGGAGAGTGTTCTCTACGATGGGTTAGGTCCCCTTCAAAATACCTAGTGAGAATGCTCCAAGACACTATGTTAATAGTTTAACAACAGAGGATTTTATTTTAACCACGCCATATCAAAAATGACACATACCTTCACTGGCCCAGAGGAATCTGAAGCAGGATGTAAAAAAATTCCTATTGAGCCATGAACCCAGCCACTCTTTACAGGCATACAGCAAGCAAATGAACAGTTTTGTATATTGGTTTTATATTTCTTCTAAGTATACTGCTCAAACTGTAAGCACAATCGGGTATTTATAACTTGCCTATTTTTCTCTCTCTCAGTAAATGGCTTTTGCCTGGAAATGTGGCTTAATCTGAGACCTCAAGGTATGATATCAGACACTGCAAAAGCACAAACTGAAATTGTGAGATTTTCAAAGGAGGAATTAATAAAAAAGCATACATACTACTCTAAATTCTAGGCTTAAATATAACCCAAAGACTTATTATGAGATGAGATACTTCTCTACACAAGATTGATTAAAACATTTTTAATTCTAACTGTACAGTATAAGAAAATGTGTGGCAAACACAAAACTTACGTAGACTAGCAAACATAGAAACACAAACCAATACATGCAAAGTTAATACAGTGCAAAAGCTATATGTTGCAAATCTAAAATTCAAATCAGGAAATGCATTTAAAATACATCAATGTGCTGCAAACACATAAATACCAATATGAAATACACATGCAAAAGCAATTGGTGCAGGTAGCAAAACTGAAATGCAAGTCAAGAAATGCTGCAAAGTAGCTCCAGATTACAGAAATCTTTCAAACCCCAGCAGAAGACAATTCTTAATTCATATTGGACCAAAATAATAGAGTAGACATTACATTGTATTTTACTCTGATACCTATAGTGTTAAGACAATTGCTTAAAATTAAACTGAATTACAAAATATTTTTTTTACTTTTAAGATTTTAAATATGCCATAAAATGAGAAAAGGTGACCAATAATTTTTGTCAAAACATATACAGTTGTGTAATAATACAACAAAAACTAAGATGCATTTTAGGTCTGAAATTGGGATTATTTTTAGGATATTTTGTGTAATTGCCTCAGATAGATGTTTTATCAATGTACCTTGGTGTTAAAATAAGAAATCTAGTAAGAAAGCTACAAAATAGAACAAATTAAGGCAAAACTGTCAAGACAGGACCTCCTTCTACTGAGGTAGTTTCACCTTGGCCCGACTTCCTTTAGCGTTGACCTTGGGTCTAATGCTGATTGACAGTAAAATAGAAAAGGGAGAACAGTAGTATAGTAATAAGCTTATTGGAGAAAATTAAAATATAATACAGTAGGCGAGAGGATATGAAAGGGAATTGGAAAGTTAGAAATAAGGAGAAAAACGTGCAGCAGGGTGGAGGAGGAGAAAAATGAAGGTTAATGAAAGAATAACAGACAAAATTGAGGAAAGAACACAGAAGAGGCAGGTTTGACTAGCATAGAAAGTTTACATAAACTTGGTACAGTAGATGACAAAAAGCAAGAGATAAAAAGTTCTGCAATATGCCAGAGGCAAAAAGAAAGCAATGTCAAGAAATTAGTAGGAGGTCAAACTTAAAACACAAAAAATAAGAGAGGAATGTAAAAATGCAAAAACTTCAACCTTTTTTCAGTTCTCTGGTTTCACCATTCATGTTAATTTTTTGAACAGAGTTGCACTTATTTGGCAGGTTTCTTTCCAATCCTAAATTAGAATTTTGGACTTTGACTATTTCACATTGATACAATTTTCCCTGAACTATTCAATAGCATTTGACTGTATGATTACGGCAGTGGCCATACAACTAACCAAACTGCTTCACATCTGTCTCCACATCGATATGAAGTCCCCCAGTAGAAAATGGAATCCCTGGAAGCGGGGCTATCCAACACATCCCCCAGGGATGCTAAGAAGGCCTCGTACTACAGTACATACTGCTATTAGGCACAACAACTTTCAGAGACCTGCCTCCTACCCGAAGGCAAAGGCAAAAACTCTCATCCATAGCAGTAAACTCCAACATGAGATGGCTGATCTAGGAGAGGCAAACAAACCCAGCCCAGCAGTCTGCCTCTCCCCGCAATTTTGTAGCATCCTAGGCATCCCTCTTACAAAGACCCAAAATTAAAGGAATATTTGAGGCAGAAACTGCACGTATGCTGGATGCTGTTGGTGAATTTGAATTATATCTTATTAAATTAAACGTTCATCTTATCGTGCTATTACCAAAAATATTACCATGCATGCTCTCCTTAAGCTCCAAGGAACTTGGAGTAAAGCAAGTTGGGAGAACCACAGGGGAATGCAGGGGAGCGGGGCAGTTACGGAGGATGTTAGATTTTGGGGTAAGTGTCCATGGATCAGGCCACCAAGGCCTCCTCCTCTGACTATGACTCAATCCTATTAGTACAGGTCCCTTATTGTTTTGACAGCCACTTTATCAGATAAAACAAAACTTTGGACTTGTTTTATGCAAATAAGAAATGTATATATCTCTAAATTAAGCTCTATTATGAGTCAATCAGATCACAATCTTGTTTTTATCTGCTCAGTGTATAAGCCACTTTATAAGAGGGATCCTGCATTAAAGAAAACTGTAAGGAGATTTTTTTCACTGTTTTCCCCTTGTTGACTCCACACCTTTTTTGTGGTTTTAGGAGTTTGCATTCTGTTGGGTTTTTAATCCAGAGAAATGTGAGTTTAAAAGATTAAAAGGAAAATGATCAACACAGAGACAGGATTTTGTGACGTCAGTGTGTGCCGGGTGGAGAGAAGAATGCTGGCTTGGAAAGCCATCACCTTCTCCCACAGATCCCTTCATGGCAAAGCCTTTTATTAACAGTTTACAACATCAAACAGGCGGGCCTAAAACAGAAGAGCCAGTAATCATTGTCTGGGAGGATGCAGGTAACAAGATAGTGTGAATTGACCAACTGGCTGGATGGAAGTCACACATCCGTGTGATTCTGCCTCATGACCTACAGGAGGTCATAAAAGTTTATGACCCTTCTGGTTGAAACACAGAATAGTTATCACTCTAACATTTCCCTCCTCTTATACATAAAAACATCAGCATCTTTCAATTCATATTTTATTCATAGGAGTAGGAATATGAGTACAAACATAACAGTCTGTTTTGTTCAAATCTTCAGCAACATGTTTTGCATGTTGCCACCACATCTTGGCACTGTAGGATGACAGTCAGTTTGAGTTCCTAGGAACACCGGTCCAACAGTCATCACCGGGCAGCATAACCACTTTGGTTTTTCAGATCTTTGCCAGTCCGTCCAAGGAAACACCCACTAACCGGACTCTAAAAGACTGGGTTAGGTTGTTCTTTTCACCAGCGTTGAGACGAGTGGTCCTAAAAAAACCAAACCCCTTTGAAGCTGGACTTCACCACAGATCTATACCTTAGTCGTGGGGTCCCTGTGAAAGTAACTGGGCTTTTTTGCTGTGGAAAGTTTTTAATCAGTTTACAATGACTCTGGTGGATCCAAGTGTCTCTCTCCTGGATTTTCACGGCAGTGGGGGTTGTTAGTTGCACTTTGTAGGGTCCTTCCCACCTCGGAGCTTTCCAAGTTTTCCTTTTGATGATTTTAATCAGCACTCGGTCTCCAGGCTTCAGGCCTTCCTGTGGGGAAACAAAAGGAGCACTAGGCAGATTACATGTTTTCTGAACAGTTTTGTCGCTGAAAAGCTTCAGCATCCACTTAGTTAACGGGTCAATGTCATCTTGTTCTTTTTCTGCCCATGGCTTTCCTGTTTCTGCCATGAATTTTCTCAATCTATTTTTAACATCCTCGAACCATTTAACTGGGTTCTGTCTGGCTGGAGGTAAACCTCGACAGGCAGTCCGCATCTCTGCATCTGTCCATGGCCCACACACAAGAACAGTGGGTCCACAATCCAGTGGGTCACCATCTTGGGGTCCCGTGCATTGACCACAATGAGGGTTGGCCACCTCCAACACCGGAAAAGCACATGCCCCCCTCCCAGGATCTTGGTCCTGTTCTTGTTTTTTTAATTCATCCAATCTTGGATAAATAGGGGCAGATGGGCCCCTTCCACAAGCCTCCACTTGATAATGATCCCTGTAACACTTTGAATCAAGCTTCACATCCCTTCTTAATTCATGCTCACAATGGTCAGCGGCACTGAGTTCCATACCATCCACAGAGGACGACACGGACAGGGGGCCTGCTCCTGCTCCTCCAATATCACCACACGATGGTGGGGCCACTGGAGGAGGAACAGTGGCATGGCTGTGTTCATATTCACCATGATGGGGTTTATCTCCACCTTCCTGCGCAGCTGATGCTACTGCTTGAACCCCATCACCCCCTTGAATTTGATTAGGGTCAGGATATTGAGGAAGCATACGGGATACAACAGTTTCTTCATCAGCTTTAACTTTTACAGCAGCAATTGTAGCTGTCTTTCTATCCTTCTTCTGTTGTATTTGGCTTTCCCTATTTTTTGCTTGCATAATCCACTTATTTAACTCTTCTAATTCTTTTCTGTATTTAGTTTGTTTTCTTTTTGATTTATACACCAACTTCATCTCCACCTTCTGCTGAATCTTTGTCAGCGGCTCAACTCTCAGCTTTCCATCCCAGTCCTCCTTCTCAATCCACTTTCTGGCAAACTCTGGGTCACCACCACAACACGCCACCATCCATCTAACATCACCTGGCATTTCCTTCTTACTACTGCCTTGTCCCATTTTTAAAGAATTTAGTCCAGTACACAGCGGTTCGATTGTTTCCTCACACACTTTCACACAGTAACACACACCTAAGGCCTAATATTTTTTATTTTTTAACCAACATAGAGTCCCAGACTCGAATGCACAGAATACCCAGGTCCCAGACTTGTAAACAAAACTTGGTTTCGTCAAATATTCTTGCAACTACAACCAGTTATAGCTTGAACACAGAGGGTCCCAGACCCAAACGCACAGAATACCCAGGTCCCAGACTTGTAAACAAAACTTGGTTTCGTCAAATATTCTTGCAACTACAACCAGTTATAGCTTTCACACAGAGGGTCCCAGACCCAAACGCATAGAATACCGATCCCAGATCTCTCACAACAAACCCTGTTTGTCAAATATTCTAGCGACTACAACTAGTTATAGCTTTCACACAGAGGGTCCCTGACCCAAAACGCATAGAATACCGATCCCAGATCTCCCACAACAAACCCTGTTTGTCAAATATTCTAGCGACTACAACTAGTTATAGCTTTCACACAGAGGGTCCCTGAACCAAAACGCATAGAATACCGATCCCAGATCTATCACAACAAACCCTGTTTGTCAAATATTCTAGCGACTACAACTAGTTATAGCTTTCACCAGCTTTTAATAAAAAACCTTAGGCGTACCGTTTCTGTGCAGATCAGTCCTCAGCTTGAGTCGTCACCAGGATGTCCAGGGCAGGGCTGGACCAACCTATTGGCTCCGTCCGGCAAAGGGTGGACGGCTGTTGACAGTTTCTTGGCCTTGGTCCCGCACGGTCCTGGACAATTGGATCTTGACTCCCAGAGTTTCGGCACCAAAAATGTTGGGTTTTTAATCCAGAGAAATGTGAGTTTAAAAGATTAAAAGGAAAATGATCAACACAGAGACAGGATTTTGTGACGTCAGTGTGTGCCGGGTGGAGAGAAGAATGCTGGCTTGGAAAGCCATCACCTTCTCCCACAGATCCCTTCATGGCAAAGCCTTTTATTAACAGTTTACAACATCAAACAGGCGGGCCTAAAACAGAAGAGCCAGTAATCATTGTCTGGGAGGATGCAGGTAACAAGATAGTGTGAATTGACCAACTGGCTGGATGGAAGTCACACATCCGTGTGATTCTGCCTCATGACCTACAGGAGGTCATAAAAGTTTATGACCCTTCTGGTTGAAACACAGAATAGTTATCACTCTAACACATTCTCCGAAAGTTGTTACCTTCTTTATCAAAAACATTATAAACAACACTTGTAGACTAGGTATGTTGCATTCCTATAAGTGGAGATAAAAGTCAGAACTGTTTCTCAAATGATTCATTTGTAAGAGTCAAACTACAAATCAACAGCTGCAGCTTTCTACAACTCTATTTCAGCTATGAGGACAAATATATATCTGCTTTGTTCAGGTGAACGTTAGACTATGCCTGCTATGCTGTCAGTCAAAAAAAGACAGAGCCACCTCACCAACTCAATAGTCTGAGATAAAGTAAGGGTTTATTTCCTTCTCTCCGTCTTACAGCTAAAACAGTTCGGCACAGGCACAGGAGTGCATGAGAAACCCATTTACACATGGCATTTACTCACTGTGAATGTCTTTGAATAATGCACATTCTCTATATCTGCCCTTTTTACCTGGCGAGTAGGAGCAGATTTATCAGAACACAACATCAATGGAAAATTCTGCTATTCTAGAAAACACCAGATATTCACTCTCTTCCATATGCTGGAAGAGTGTTACCATCTTCTGCATGGTCCTAATTATAAGCATGACCCCCCGAAAAGTACTATGTTTCATGCAAAGGTTTTTACTCCTATTTTGTTTGGTAACTTATCAGTAAATCTGAAAATACAAATTCATGTAGTTCATCCATGGGTTACCTCAATATATGACTCTTGCAGTTATTGCTTTTACACAGGTGCCATACATTTGTTTGCAATCCAAAGACAGCCCCAGCATGTTTTCTTTGCATTAGCATTAACTGTTGATGGTATATTTTTTGAGTTTAGAGATTTCTAGATGCTGGTTGTTGTTTTTTTTTTTTTTTTTCTATTTTACATATTCCAACATGTAATATAAGAAACTCTGCCCAAAAATGAAAACCATTAGAGGACTCTTGTAGTAATGTCGCAAATTGCATTATCGAAGGAGAATGTATTAATATAATGAATAGTTGTAGGAGATAATGGTCTTTTTAGCTCTTCTAGCACTAGTTTAACATATGGTAAGATGATCTGTTTTGAACACTGTTGACCTACAACAAGAAGGTCCTAAATCTCAATCAAGACAACTTCTTCTCTATGCAAGGATTATTGCCACAGTTTCACCTGCTACCCTGTAAAGGCCCAAGTAAGTACAGATATATAGCTGTTTTCTTTGTTCTGCTAGTCTTAATTAAATAAAATTACAAAAAAAACATTGTATTAATATCTTCATGATCTTTGGGTTAGATGAATTCAGCCATTATAGGAATCTCAGTGAAGAGATATCATGTTAAAAAGGTTTAATTAACTATAGTCGATTATACTCTACTGACTCAGTTAATGATTATAGGATGTTGTCTGTAAATGCACAGTTAACATCTTTAATTATTGTTTACCTAGCTTAAATCTCTTTAAACAAAGGCTCAGTTGCACTTAACACATCTTAGACTAATGGGATCCCTCACTTTGTAATTGAAAAGTTTTATTGGAGTTCATCACAAGGCTACTTACTATCAAGCCTGGGAACTTGGCCAGTAATAGTTTTTCATCCATTTAGATCAAATAAAGAAAGAAGTAGATGAAGCTGTAATCTGGCCAGCAATCTGAAAATCTCTTTTAAACAATTTGTGGAAAAAAATAGGCCTTTAAAAAAAAAGTATATTATATAGATTTCTTTATGAGCCAAAAAAAATGGGCTTTACTTTATTTCTTCGACAGTTAAACAGAGAAACAATGAATTTAATAAGACTGGGCAGTACGCACCAACACTCTGTCATAGTCTTGGTGCTGATGGTTGGCTTTTTCATTTGCTCCTGCTAACTTGTCTGATTGGCCCGGCGGCTGATTAACGTTGATCATTCCCACCTGGTCCCCTCTGGTATTTGTGTGGTTTGCCTGCCTACCATCAGTAACAGATTATTCAAGCTGTTTGTGGGAGAAACTCTGGCATTCAAGTAAGTTTTTCTGTGATTCTGACCTCTGACCTGTTTTCTGCTTCTGGATATTAAATTTTTTGCCTTGCCATTGTCTGCTCTGTCAGTTTTTTGTGTTTGAACTGTCTTCCTGGATTGTGCTGGTGTACCCAACTTGGACTATGTTATTGATCTCGGCTTGGATTCCCCTTCGGTACCACTTTGGCTTTCTGATCTTCTAGTCAATCAACCTGGTTCGGATCCGACCTCGACTCTGGACAACCTCCCTCCCGGATTTCTCACTTCGTCTGAGATCAGCCCAACAATCCAGTCACTGACTTGTGTTTCCTATATCTGCACAGAATCCAGTTATCCGCTTTACTAACAATAGCTGCTCACTCTGTTTGTTTGTTGGTTTTTTAAAGTAAAGCGTATTGAAAATCGTCCTGATCTATCCATGTGAATATTAAGTCAAAGGTTCTGAGGTCCTGACAGGCTCCTGCCATATGAGAGGGGCACAAGTAAACAGGACAGACTGGTGGATGTGAAAGACCATAAGGATTAAAGAGAGACACAGCAACCTTTCTCTAGAAGAAACAATCATGCACCATAGTTTCAAAGATTGGAGATAACAAATTCATTCTATGGAAGTTTGGTGTACAGACATCTCTGTACACCAAAGAATATTCTGGATAATTCTGGCTCCTAATTTAAATAAATTCTTTATATATTTTTTGCATTTATGTGAGCTATAGAGCGAGTAACTAGTTAGCTGTAAAAATAATAAAATAATAACTCCATGGACTTAAAGTCCAACTTAGACAATATATAATTTAAAACTGAGCCCAAAAAGCCTTAGTCAACCCTCTATAACCGGTCCCGTTTATTTCTAAGGACCTGAGGGGCCTGGGTTGGGGATCACCAGATTTCGGCCCTGCTTTTTTCAGTTGACATGGTTCTGCTGGATCCCTCCTGCCAAGACTACAGCCTGCGCAGGAGTGGTTCACAGCGGAGTGTGAACCTGCCAGGCTCAAGATCAGCATCTCCAAGTCCAAGACAATGATTCTCACCCGGAAAAACATGGCTGCCCTATTTAGGCTGAAGGAGGGTTCCTGCCTCAAGTGAAGGAGGTCTGTAATTCGGGGTCTGTTAACAGGTGAGGGAAGAATTGAGCATAAGACTGACAGACAGATTGGTGCAGCTTCCACCATATTGCTGATGCTGTATTAGTCTGTGGTGGTGAAGAGAGTGCTGAGCCAAAAGCTAAAGCTCTCAGTTTACCAGTCAATCTACATTCCCAACCTAACCTATGTTCATAAAATCTGGTTCATGGGGGTTATATGTTATTTAATTGAAAAACTTGCTGACACTTATATGTTGAGAGTCTTCCTGCATCTGCATCTTCCTTTACCGATGTTCAAACAAAATCTCCAAAATTAATATAATTGCTGATGGCAGTTATTCATTTAAAAATTAGAGGAATAAAAAACAAAACAATAAGGACCCGTTCTTCATAAATTTAAGATAAAGGACGCTGGACTGCAGCTAAGATCTTTTTCAGGCAAGTGTACTAGTGGCCGTGTTACGGGTGATTACAAAGATTTCTGCACAAATGTTAAGACACGAAAACTAACCCATGATTCTGCTCCATTAAAATGAGCAGATTGCATTTCATATTTTTACTCCAATTTCAGTTTTGTTATTATATATGATCAAAAGCAGGGGGCTTCAATGTGTTCCAGGTCAAGGACATCCAAACTGATGGTGAGATGGAGCAGGGATCCCTAATTATATATATTATATGAAATTGTGTTATAGCAAACTGGTCCTATAGTCACTCTATTACAGATGGAGTATTGTAACAAAAGTAAGTTTGCCCTGGGATTATTAAAGTATTTCTGATTCTGATTCCTGGTTGATGGGACAGGTGTTGTGAATGAAACGGTGCCCAACTTGAAAGAGCTCCTGTGGAACCCTTACGGGTCACGGACCCCGTGTTGAAGACCCGTAAGTTTAGATATTCTAGATTATTTCCTCATAACCATTACCGAATTAGTTGTTCCAATATTTTAGAAGAAAACATTTCTAATTTTTGGTTTGTGGGAAATTAAATAAATGCTGTAAACTGTAATGAATGCGCCATGCCACACACCTGTGACCTATTTCAGATTTTCCCAAATGATGTATGAAAGCAGTAATTTGTTACTCGATATATCTTTTTAAAAGATTATGATCAAATGTCAAAAAGTGGACAAAATCTTGTGGTTGGTGAAGCTGTCATGTCCTGAAAAGTAGTTTCTTACCGGTAAATGTATTGTAATGTATTAGTGATTTTGTCTGTTTGTGTTGCAATCTTTCCAGAAAAAAAATTTCCCAGAGGTACCAACCAAATGGATAAATACAGTAAATCTGAATCTGTCACAGAAATAAACACATCTTAGTGAAGCATCCTATTTGATTATATGTATTATACTAATGATGTAATATGAACACCAGAAGCCCATAGCTATAAAGCACAGATATTTAATTTAACTCAATTCAAATACATTTATTTATGCAGCACCTATAAGAAACAATTCAATCAGACAGATTGGTAAAAGTTTTATATCAAAGGAAAACCAGCTAATTGTATCAAGTCATTGACTCTGCAGGATTTGCTCCTAGCGTATAAGCATGTGGAGACTGTAGATATTTG